CAGTTCCTTTCCACACCGCCTTCACTTCCCCAACTCGAAGTCAGGTACCCGTTACTGCTGGGTGGGCAGGAGGGGGCGAAAATAATCCATGTTCGAACCGAGGCTCGAACCTGGACTTTCCGCTTCGGAGACGAGCGCACTAAACGCTCCGCCACAGCACCCTCTAAAAGAGTAACAAACACAGAAAAGAAGGAAGAGGGATCAGGACGACGATAGATGGTAGGAAAGAAGAAACAAACTACACCAGAGCACCCGCCAACCACCTATGCCTACTCTCTGTGTTTGCGAATGACGTATTTCTTAGTGACGCTGACGTCACGAGTTTTCGTGCAGTTTCGTGAGATTTTTGTGTTTGAGAGGAAACAAAAGGAAGATAAACAAATAAACAAATAAACACTGGGCTACTTCAAAGAAATCCCACCTCAAGTAATTTAATCAGTAAGTATTCGTTCGTTTACAAATTAATTATAAACAGAAAAATGCCCGGAAATGATACATCGCTACAAACAAGAATTATGAAATTTCCATAATTAGTTTTGAAGGTTCTCCAATAATTAGATTCCTAGGCGTTTGTAGAAAAGTGGAGCTAAAATCTAGATTTCATCGGTGTATAAAATAAGTTTCCCGCAGACAGCAACTGTAGCGCAACTAAAATTGCCCTGTGCGCGCCTAAAAATACACCGAGCGCACAAAGCTAACCAAGTCGTGCAACAGTAGGCTATCATCATTAGTGACTTCCTCATTAATTTGGCGCCATGGACTTCCACAACGCAGTTGTTCTGTGTGCTCTTGTGATTGGGAATGCATGGAGACTAGATTTCTAGATCTAGATTTCTAAACTAAGAAAGAAGAAAAGAAAATAGTGGTTTTTGGGTTCACCCTTTGGCCAGTCAGAGGTTTAAAAAAAAAATGTTTTGTCTCCCTGTTGTCACTGAGCTCGGGTTGATCCTGACACGTAGGGTTGAAGTTGAAGCAGCCTGCCCCTTATTAAATGATCTAAACCGTGTCAGTGGAGGCGAAAAGAGTTTACAATAGCTACCCCCCCCCCCCCCCCCCCCCCCAACCCTCTTCAGGATCCATCCCAGGAAAGTTCAAAGTTTGGAGTTTGAGTGAGTAGGCGACACACCAATGTACTTTTGGTTCCAGTCACTTCGCATATAACTATAATTCAGGACCGGGAACGAGAAAACGAAAGTGTTCTGCTATGTCTTCCAGTTTACAAAATTAAATGAAGCGCCTGGCTTAATCATAATTTGTGTAAGAGCTACAGTCGAAGACATAGCTTAGATCTAATAAACCTACTGCATTTTGCTGTTTCCACGTGTACCTACAGTTTGATAAGATGGAATTCAAGTTGTATGAGATGAGTATAGAGAAAGCTTAGCAAATTAAAAAAGTAATTGATAAATTCGTCTTTCAAAATCTCTGATACATTTTTAATGTAGGCCTAGAATCTACGTTCCCTCTCTTGCTCTTTTCTCTCTCGTTTCTTATCCCGCGGCAGCGTCATTCAATGCATTCTGTTTTGTTGTTGTTGTTGTATTTTTTTGTTTTAGAAACAGTTTTAGGGCACTTTCAACACAAGAAGGTCATATAAGTGCCAAAGGTTATAGGTGTCACAAGAGAGTAAAAGTAAAGTCGTTCCCGCATCCGACCCGGACATTGGGGATTGCCTTGTTAGTGAGACAACTTCCTGGGCCTTCGGCATATTGTGGTAGGTTGGACAGTTCCTTTCCACACCGCCTTCACTTCCCCAACTCGAAGTCAGGTACCCGTTACTGCTGGGTGGGCAGGAGGGGGCGAAAATAATCCATGTTCGAACCGAGGCTCGAACCTGGACTTTCCGCTTCGGAGACGAGCGCACTAAACGCTCCGCCACAGCACCCTCTAAAAGAGTAACAAACACAGAAAAGAAGGAAGAGGGATCAGGACGACGATAGATGGTAGGAAAGAAGGAACAAACCACACCAGAGCACCCGCCAACCACCTATGCCTACTCTCTGTGTTTGCGAATGACGTATTTCTTAGTGACGCTGACGTCACGAGTTTTCGTGCAGTTTCGTGAGATTTTTGTGTTTGAGAGGAAACAAAAGGAAGATAAACAAATAAACAAATAAACACTGGGCTACTTCAAAGAAATCCCACCTCAAGTAATTTAATCAGTAAGTATTCGTTCGTTTACAAATTAATTATAAACAGAAAAATGCCCGGAAATGATACATCGCTACAAACAAGAATTATGAAATTTCCATAATTAGTTTTGAAGGTTCTCCAATAATTAGATTCCTAGGCGTTTGTAGAAAAGTGGAGCTAAAATCTAGATTTCATCGGTGTATAAAATAAGTTTCCCGCAGACAGCAACTGTAGCGCAACTAAAATTGCCCTGTGCGCGCCTAAAAATACACCGAGCGCACAAAGCTAACCAAGTCGTGCAACAGTAGGCTATCATCATTAGTGACTTCCTCATTAATTTGGCGCCATGGACTTCCACAACGCAGTTGTTCTGTGTGCTCTTGTGATTGGGAATGCATGGAGACTAGATTTCTAGATCTAGATTTCTAAACTAAGAAAGAAGAAAAGAAAATAGTGGTTTTTGGGTTCACCCTTTGGCCAGTCAGAGGTTTAAAAAAAAAATGTTTTGTCTCCCTGTTGTCACTGAGCTCGGGTTGATCCTGACACGTAGGGTTGAAGTTGAAGCAGCCTGCCCCTTATTAAATGATCTAAACCGTGTCAGTGGAGGCGAAAAGAGTTTACAATAGCTACCCCCCAACCCCCCCCCCCCCCCAACCAAAACAACAGCAACAACAAACAAACAAACAAACAAACTTTTAAAACAAAAGAAAAGAAAAAAACCCCCAAATGAAGAGCACAGGGGAAAAATGACTGTAGTCACAACTTGGAAATTGTGAGGATGCTAATTTCAAAAACTTGTGGACTCATAACGTCATATTTGTTTGACTGGTGATTTATTGTTAAGTGTTGGTGAATGGGAAACCTAACAACAATAATCAACCAACCGTTGAACAGAAAATTTAATACAGTTATGAGTCAACAAGCGTTCAAAATTAGCACCCTCACGATTTTCAATTTGTGACTACAGTCATTTTCCCCCTGTACTCTTCAAAATGATCTCCACAGCAGCGTCCCCTCAACCGCCTCGCCATGAACGCCAAAGACACCGTGGACCTGTCGCCGACCACCTTCCGGCGGATGCTGGCCCTCCACGGCCGCTCCACCACCTGTGGGCTCTTCGGCGCAGACGACGCGATCAACCAGATGGCAGAGATCATGGCGGCCAAACAGGAGAGGGAGAGGAAGAGGAACGGGGACGGCGCAGGGGACGAGAGGAAGGACGAGGAAGGTGATGTCTCCGAGAAGGAGGACGAGGAAGGGGAGAAGGTGGGAACATCGCGGGCAGCTTTGCTAACTTTGGTTTTTGTCTGTTTTTGGAGTTCAAAACTCATTGACTCCTTGACCCTATCCGTACGCCGTGCTTTACTATCGTATCCATACGACACGGGGAACTCAGTGCCACCACTTTCCAAAGAGGAAATTTACTCATCAATCCGAACCGTACGCTTTGCATAACAGTCTGTCAAAATGAGTTTTTAAAAATTTTAAATACTGAAAGTTTCAAAGAGATCTTCGTACTAGAAGTATTCTAAAATGTGAAGAATACAACACCGGGGTACACAATGATCCCAGGGCGTACGGATAGGGTTAATTCTTTAAGAACGAAGTGGACATAATACATGTAAATTGTAATTTGTGCGATCAGCAGCAGATCAAAGCAGCAGACTAAAAATAAAAGCCAACATGGCCAACACATTTTGAACCATCATACACTATCAAATCAGAAAGATGAATAAAAATTTCTCGGAATGGATACAATGTAGTAAATAGGGGACCTGTGTACTTCTGAGAATAGAATATAATGTATAGAGATATTATGTTTATGGGCACCTTTTCCATTTCCTTATCCCCCCCCAACCACCCTTACTCAAACTAACCTTTTGTTAAATCTTGGAAAGGGGTGGGGGGTTGAGGGTTGGGGGATAAGGTTAAGAGTATAAACCCTGCTGTCAAGCGGAGGTAGGCACAATTATCATTACATGTATCATCATCATCATCATCATCATCATCATCATCATCATCATCATCATCATCATCATCATCATCATCATCATCGTTATTATTTATTTATTATTGCAGTATTATAATGACGATGCTTTATTTATTTATTCATCATCATTATCATTATTATTATTATTATTGTTATTATTATTATTATTATTATTATTATTATTATTATTATTGTTATTATTATTATTATTATTATTATTATTATTATTATTATGATGATGATGATGATGATGATGATGATGATGATGATGATGATGATGATGATGATAATAATAATGATAAATATTATTATTAACATCATTATCATTGTTAGCTATACATGTATTCTCTCATTCTTCCCCACCACACGTGTGGCGTCGGTAGCCTAGTGGTTAGGCTACCCCACTCGTAATCGTGAGATTGCGGGTTCGGGGGTTCGAGCCTCAGCTCGGTCTGACGTTGCGTCCTTGGGAAAGGCACTTTACACGAACTTCCCACTTGGCTCGGTCCTATCGGAGACGGACGTTAAACTAGGAGGTCCTGCCCCTTAAATAACCTAATAGTGTTGATAGGGGCGTTTAACCCATACCATTTCACCCACCACACGTACATGTGTCGATGTGTCGTGCAGGGGGTGAGCAAACAGGCGCTGACCAAGGTGGTCCAGGAGATCAGCTCGGCTCTGAAGCCTCCCGCCGACGGAGCCATGAACCCGCCCCTCTCCAAGGCCTACGACGACCAGAAAAACGCCAACCCCAGCTACTCGTTCTACAGGAGGACGTTCAAGGTAATTTTTATTTTAATTTAAAAAAAAAGTAGATTCTAGAGGTTTTACGGCACTTGCAACTGCATACGGTCATATTATGAGCGCCAAGGGGTGGACAGTGGGTGTCAACAGAGAAGTCTTTACAGGGAATCAGACTTACTCTGCTCACCTCTCAAGCTTCAACAGCACAAAGTCTGTTTCGACTATCAAGGCACCCCGGAAATAGCGGGTCACAAGAGTGTGACAAACATACAAAAGAAGTAGAGGAAAAATGACAATAGTAAGGATTAGGAAAGAAAAAGCAGCAGTTCCCTGTTGTAGATCAGACACAGTTATGAGTTTGACATTGATGAATCAGCCCATTTACAATTCTACAGTGCATGAACGAGAAATGCCGCCCCCCCCCCTTTTGGGAATGTCCTAAAGACACTTCAGTCAGTGGCACCGCCACCGGGTTTTTTTTCAAGGTACGACGCCACACAGGTTGTGAATAGGTTCTTGGGGTACATGTACGAGCAAACTACTGTCGCGCTCTGGTGTGGTTTGCTTGCTCCTTCTTTCCTGGTTAAACATCAGCATCTATTGTTCTTATTTTCAATGTATGACGGCACAGGGGTTGGGGGGGGGGGGGGGGGTGTCTCGTGACCTAGAGGTTAAGGTGTTCACCTCTAATTTAAATGTCACGGGATCGAATCCAGGTAGTGACTTTCTTATTGGGACGAACTGCAAAATAGTAGATCTAGGCCGAGGCTACCAAAATAAATCTTTAGTTCCGGTATCCTCGATCTAGGCCATACAACGTACGTAGGCCACACAGCTTCTGTAAAAAAGATATAGAATGGCTGCCAAAGTTTGGTGACTTCCATAGCTTGAGAGTCCTCGGAGTCTGTAGTAGCCTACATCTTTTTTGTGAGTCCGATTACAGATTTTTTGTTCTTTGTTGGTTGTTGTGGGGCTTTTTGTGTTCTTGCTTTTTTTGTTTGTTTCAGTATACTACGTCTCTTCAACTTCATTATTTTGACGACCGCCTGATTTCACAACGATGCCACAAAACAAACATGTCTATTCTGTCGTAAATGACAAAACGTCTCTTTAAAAAAACAACATTTCCTGCAGTTTCGAGATAAAGAGGCTATTTAATAATTGTCAGCGAAACCATTTTAAAAAGGTATCGTTCTTCCGAAATTTAAATGATGATTTATTAAAATTACTAGTCAGTATTCACTTTGATTTTTTTGCCCACAAAAGTAAGGGTAACTGCTCAGGCTTTCGGTTTAAGCAACAAAAAAAAAAAGTTTAGTTTTAGTAAGAGTTTTACGGCACTTGCAACACAATAAGGTCATATAAGTGCCGAAGATTAGAGGTGTTACAAGAGAGTAACATACACAAAAAAAGAGGGAAGAGAGATAAGAACGATAGACGTTTGATAACAAACCACACCAGAGCACCTGCAAAAAAAAATAAAAAAAAAAAAATAAAAAAATGGTGCCCCCCCCCCCCCAAAAAAAAATAGTGCAAAAAAAAAAAAGTCGTTTTGTGAGCTTACTTACAGTACAGCAGTATTGCTCCCGCTAACTCCTCAGGTTCACGGCAAAGAGGCCTGGGAGCACGCTATGCGAGACCTGGGAAGCGTGGACACTCTCATCAACCGCTACGGCTACGTGGTACCATCACTGAGGCGGGACTGACCATCACCACCAGCTGCAGCAGCAACAGCAGCAAAAGCAACAACATCGATAACAACTAAATTATAAGTTGTACATCAACGCAGCAGCTCCAACTGCACGAATCACAAATGAAAAGAAATGGCCGCTAAGACTCAGACTACAAATGCAGCTAACATTTTAATACATCTGCAACAACAAGAACAATAACAGCAATAACAACAACAACAACAACAACAACCACTACAGCTGCAGCAACAAAAAGTGTAAATGCAACAACAACAACAACAACAGACTACATCTGCAACAACAACTTTAACATGAACTGTCGCTAAAAGAACGTTTAAAAAAATACAACGACATCATGTACAACCACAATAACGGCTACAAATATAACAACAACCACAATAACAACAACAACCACCACAACCGCAACAACAGCCACAACAACAACAACAACTGCTACAACAACAAAAACCTGTGCGTTTCCACAAACACAACGGAACAGCCCCAGAACAACCTGTTGTTGTTGTATGGAAGATCCGAACTGATGAACTCCCTTGACCCCCCGGTGAATAAAGGGGTGCCCACTACTACGGCTGGATCGGACCGATCGTCCGACTCGGTCGCCTGAAACTGAAAATAAATACGCTTGTTTTGGAGGCGACCGAGTTGGGCGATCTCATCCGTAGTGGGCACCCCGTATTACATAAGCGAACTCGTCTATGTCAGAAGAGGCTGAGACTAGGAGTGTATAAGATCTGTCAGTCATTGCCGCTGACAGCGCCAAAGCTGTGAGATCACAATCAGTTCTTCACTGTTACTGATACTACTGTAGTCACAATAAAGCGCTAGTTCTGAAAACGACAGCGGCGACCAGAGTTCTCCTTTCATTTCTTCCCTCGGATACTCTTAAAAACACACCTACATACATTACCCTCGTGTGTCCCCGTCAGCCATTTTGTGTGTAAGGCTGTAGTAGTAGGCATGTTACGCTATTAATGAAGGAGGAAAGATATATGTAATAAATATATGTATTTATACTCATGATATATATATATATATATATATATATATATATATATATATATATATATATATATATATATATATACGATCTTAAAAGACTGCTCACATTCCGGGGGGGGGGGGGGGGGGGGAGGACATACTGCGTTACAATTGACTGTTGTCAATTTACATTAAACATTTTCTACTGTATGAGATATCATACATTAATCAAGCAAACCGTGGTTTTCACACGTACATGAAGTCATGATAATCATGTATAATACATTTATTATTGCGTGATGTTTTTGAAGAAACAAATAAAGTGACTGCAAATCAATGTCTCGGCTTCACTACTGACTATTTAAAGTACCCTGAATTATGATTTCTTGAGTTTTCAATTTTAGTAAGTTAAGTAAGAGTTTAAAGGCACTTGCAACACAAAACAGGTCACATAAGTGCCGAAGATTAGAGGTGATGATACTAGCGAGTAACAAACACTTGTAAAAAAGAAGGAGGTTAGGACGATAGACGTTTGATAGGAGAGAAGGAGCAAACCACACCACAGCACCAGCCAACTACCCACTATGACCTCCTCTGTCCTCTGCTCTTCTCAGATTGTCACCCATCGTCTTTCCTGTCCACTCTGTGATGTTGTCCTCCCATCTCCTTCTCTGCCTTCTTCTCTTTCTCTTTCCTTGTACGGTTCCTTGTAGGATTGTTTTGGCAAGTCCTGTGGATCTTGACATGTCCATACCATTTTGATTTTCGTCTCTTCACTGTGGTCAGTAGATCTTCATGCTGCCCCACTGCGTTTGTGATTCTGTTTCGTACCTCAGCATTTGAAATGTGGTCTTTGTACGAGATGTCAAGGAGTCTGTGGTAAAATCTCATCTCTGTGGTCTAAATCCTTTTCTCCAATTCGGTTGTCAGTGTCCACGACTCACAGGCGTATAAAAATATTGAGATGACAATTCCACATTATATCACAATTGCAATATTAATTGGGAAGACCAGATAGATAGAAAAGCTTTTTTTAAAATATAGTTTATACGGGGCTCGCAGCTGCATAAGGTCACATGAGCGCCAAGGGATGGATGTCAACAGAGAAGTCCTTACAGGGAATCAGGCTTACTCTGCTCACCTCTCTAGCTTCAACAGCACAAAGTCTGCTTCAACTATCAAGGCACCCCGAAAATAGCAGGTCACAAGAGTGTAACATTAACAAACATACAAAAGAAGTAGAGTAAAAATGACAATAGTAAGGATTAGGAAAGAAAAAGCAGCAGTTCCCCGTTGCAGTTCAGGCACATTTATGAGCATGACAGTAATGAATCAGCCCATTTACAATTTTACTCTGCATAAGAAAAAGTTAATCCCCCCCCCCCCCCCTTTTGAGAGGGAATGGCCTACAGACACTTTAGTCAGTAGCACTGCCCTGGGGGGTATAGAAAAGCTGAAAAGAATAAATATATAACAGAAAAAGACCACACTGGAGCTTCCACCACCACCAATAAGGTCATATAAGTGCCGAAGATTAGAAGTGTTACAAGAGAGTAACAAACACAAAAAAGGAGGAGAGATAAGGACGATAGATGTTTCATATTGATAGGAAAGCAGAAGCAAACCACACCAGAGCACCTGTCAACCACCCACTGGACAGAAAAAGGATAATGCCCATAGAAAAGAATAGTCTAGTGAAAACTATGCAATAAAGAAACCAATACCAAACTAATTAGAAATAGTTAGAGGAGTTTATTCATATGTGACTACAGTTAATTGATATGACAAATATATGACTAAACTAAGAGGATGAATCAATGAAACAGGTTTGAATAAAATGTTTCCATACATACTGCATGCCGTGTGCATTGACAGCTGAGCAAACAATCCTAATACTAATACAGTGAACAACACTGAAACCAAGCAACGTTCAAAAATAGCCTACAATCATGTATATATTCCGCGCAATTTACTGGTCTGCTTTTAACAATCACATAATTGCCTGGCAATCTTAAGATTGCACGTCGCGTTTTAACGATCGCATAGAATTGTATCATTCTTGTGAGCTCTTCAGTTTCATATGTTTAATTTTAGTTAAAAATTTTTTCCACTTTTGAAAACGTATGTGAATGTTCCTTGATGTGAGTAAAAGAATAAAGATGGAAGTGAATTAAAAAAAAAAAGATTAAAAAAATATACAAGAAATTAAATGTACTTTGAGAGTTTGATACCTGGCATTGTATCATTCTAGTGAGCTCTTCAGTTTCATAGGTTAATTTTAATTTTCAAATTTTTACACTTTTGAAAAAAAAAAGAATATATATAGATATATGTGAAAGTTCCTTGATGTGAGTAAAAGAATAAAGATGGAAGTGAATTAAAAAAAAAAAAAAAGATAATTTCAAAAATATAAAATATAAACTCAATCTTCAGATTGCCGCGCAATTCTACGATAGTTAAAAGGCGAGGCACAATCTGCTGATCGGTAAATTGCGCGGAACATATATAACACGATCGTTAAAAAGCGCAGTGCACTGATCAGTTATTACGCGGAACACGTATAATAAAAATTGTTGTGCTGTTGGCTCCCTGAGAAAAGCTGGTATAAAAAAATGACAAGGTATGAGTTTAAACCCCAGTAAATGCTGGAAGGATATTCACAGAAAAACGTTGATTAAATGCATAAAATATGTAATTTTATCGTTTTCAAGGACTCTCAAGCTGTTGAAATTGTCAAACTTTGGCGCCCATTTTCTCGCAAATTTTACCTCTGAAACCTGGCGACCCTTCTCCTTCAATCACAAATACCTTGACTTCTATTCAAGATAAATGGGTGTTTTTTTCATTGAAAGAAACACAAATAAACAAGCTTCAAGATGACACTAATAACTCCAATTGCCCAAAAATTGATGAACGTCTGATTCCACCGCGTCGAGACACATATCATCACTGACTTTTAAAAAAATGCGTGCACCCTCCAAACATTTCCCCTACTATAAAGGGATCATGAATGCTTACAGCATACTCACACACAGGTACACACACATATATACGCGTGTCCAGTGCTTGTAAATTTGCATAAAAAGCATTTTCATTCAAATACGTCGTCTCAATACCAAACACAAAACACACCAAAAAAAATAATTTCAAAATTCAGTCGGAAAATAAAGAACAAACTTTTTTACAGATCTATAACAACAAAAGTATTTATAGCATTCATCAAAAGAAATGGAAAGACCACAGTGTGTCCCTCGTCCACTCTGTAACTCCTTCTCTCTCTCTATCTCTCTCTCTCTATCCTAACACAAACCATAGTGGAACAAAACCCATGTCATTTATCATTCTAACTTCATTATCTTTTTTTATTCAACCAGAATCTTGTTGGAATTCCTTCTCTCTCTCTCTCTCTCTCTCACACATGCGTCCCTTTTAAAAAATCACTTTTAACCCTATCCATACGTCCTGGGGTCATTTTGTACCCCCGAAGTTGTATTCTTCACAATTTAGAATACTTTTAGTGCGAAGATCTCTTTGATACGTTCAGTATTTCTCAAAAAATCATTTTGATAGTCTACTATGCAAAGCGTATGAATAGGATTAACGAGTAAATTTCCTCTTTGGAAAGTGGTGGCAAAGAGTTCCCAACGTCGTATGGATACGATAGTAAAACACGACGTACGGATAGTGTTAAGATATCCAGTAGTCTGACAATAATATCATGGAATGACAGCCTAGTGTCATATATCTCTATCACACGTACAAACAACATCACATATAGATATTCACCTTGTTCAACACAAAGTGGGGTCAAATACTGACTTTCACCAAACGTTCAAGCAAAAAAAATTGTTCAAACATGGAGCAACAGGAAAACCCCCCCAACAAATCAGTGAAATTTCTCATTTGTATAAATGTAACAAAATTTAAAATAAGGGAGAGAATAACATCAGAATGAAAACCATATTGCCAGAAACAGTTGTGAAACACAAACTTGAGAGCTAATAGATAAACAATAAAATCACGAGCAATACAAAGCATGCAACCATACTGTGGACGCTTCAGTTTTGTTGGTACCAGAAACTAAATTTTCAAAGTAGCTGTATGCCAAATCTATCTGTTCCATATGAAAGGCCTATATCTCCTAAGGGCTTTGGTACCATTTGAAACCACGCGCTTGGAAGGCCGGAAGGCCGCATATCCGCTACCTGCATTCTGCCACATAAACAGAAAGTGAAATGAAACTTTTTCAAATACAAAAAAGTATTGGTATACATGAACTTGAAATATAAACATCCATGTTCCCCCCTCACTCTGGAAGAAAAACAAAAACAACTCAAATATTGGTGTCTCGCTTACATACAAGAACAATCATTCTGTTTTTCTGCTTGCCTTTATGAGCACATGAGTAAAGTGTGGAGATAATGCCCCTAAAACATTGCGGCATATTCATCAAGTGGCCTGTGCTTTTACAGTTACACAGGAACGAGCCCAGTAGGAAAAGAACAATGAAAACTCAACAACAAAACAACCCTGGTAAAAGAACGCCTCATTGGGGGATCAAACTGCCGCCATTCTTACTGTGGCTCAGCACGATGCCAACAGGTGTACTGACCCCCCTAAAGAGGACAAAAAATAAATGCAAACTCTTGACATGTACACCATGACTTCGAACCCTTTGAACCTGTTAGGTCGGTAAAACGGCATGGGCACACATCTGTCATTTCCTTGTTGACCTTATTCCAAGGTGGAAATAATGTAAGACGACGAACAAGAAATTAAGAGGGTACTTTTGACGGACTACACAACTCAGGGTTTCATTGGCGGAGAACTGTAGAGCTTTGAAATGGCTTTCCCCAGCAATATTTTGCTGTATATACCGTGTTGTGTAAGGCCGGTTCACCGGGGCGCAGACTGCCCTGAGTTGTGTAGTTCGTCAAAAGTACTCTCTTTATTTCTTGTTCGTTGTCTTACAACATTTCCACTTTGGAATAAGGTCAACAAGGGAGTAATCAGATGTATTTATTTCTCCATGTTCTTCCCCTCAGTCTTTTTGTGCACGTGCCCCCAAAACACTGTGAGCTTTGATGAAATTTGCGAAAAATGTCCAGGGATACAGATTTGAGAAATTTCAAGATTTAGGATTCAAAGGGTTGAATTAGATTCACTCAAGAAAATAGAGAATAACCATTAAAAAAACAACAAAAACCCCCCCAAAAAACAAAAACAAAATGAGCATTCATCTCCAGGAACACTTAGAGTAAACAATAACAAGTTTGCGGGTGAGGACTCGTCAAAGAAGCTCTTCGGTTTTAGTATAAGAATATACCGCACTAATTGCAAACACATAACAGCACCCACCGACCACCCACTCCAAATGCCTCTCCTCAGGCCTTCTTCTTGCCATACTTCCTCACAAAGTTGGCCACATCAAACTTGCGCTGGCAGCCCTTGTAGTTCATGTAGCGGATCTTGCCAAACACGTCCCTCTCTGCCCAGCCTTGGTCGTGGATGCCACAGATGGACCACATACAGCCTGGAACAGACGGGAAAATGACGTTAGGAGGTTATAGTTCACATACAGCCTGACAGAGAGGAGAAGAAAGTAACGAAACAGTTCAGTGGGTCACAAGAGTGTGACAAACATACAAAAGAAGTAGAGGAAAATGACAATAGTAAGGATCAGGAAAGAAAAAGCAGCAGTTCCCTGTTGTAGATCAGGCACAGTTATGAGAGCTAGATGTTCAAGACCCTTATGTCTATTCAGGTGTCCCAAAAACTGCATTTGTCGTTTCCTGATTGTTTTTACATAAAACTGCACGGTACGAAAAAAAGCAAACCCCAAAAACACAAATTGTTGAGATGAAAAAACACCAAATGAAGGAACACACTCACCGACGTATCCGTTCGGGTCTCGGCCGTCCAGGTTGTATTTGTCGTTGAGGTAGATGGCTTCGGTCAGAGCCACGGCGGGCGACGGCGTCCACTCCAGAATCTTCTTGGCCCAGTACATCCGCAGGAACCCGTGCATTTTCCCTTCTGTCACCATCTGGATCTGAAAGACCAAAGCCAAGGAGAACATATTAAGTTAGTAGAAAATATTTCATAATTAGACCTGAAAATGAACAAATTCAAGTTGGTTTTTTTCAGAATCCTCCCGCAAAATCAGAGCATCCAGAAGCGTAATAGATTATGATTATAATACAACGAATACTGTAGCTAATAAACATGTATTATATCACAAATGGAAAAGCACATTTTCATTTAATTTACAATAAGTTGGGCATAAAAATGCAAATGAACCAGTGTAATTTCATGTCATTTACCAAAGTTGCATTCAGGTGATGGAAACAGAACTCAAGCAGAAAAACAAGTTTTATGCAAATCCAACCAGGATTCTTTGATGGGGAAAAAAAATCGGAGGGACTTGTAACACAGTAAGGTCATACAATTGCTGAAGATTAGTGGCATAACAAGAGAGTAACAAACAGAAAAAAGAGGAAAGAAAGACAAAGGACATAGATGTTGAACAGAAAAGAAGGACAAAAAACCACCAACCACCCACGGACTGCTTTTCAGAACATATTTGAAGTTAGAGAAAAAAACAACAACACATGAGCATAACAATCGAAACTAGAAAGAGAAAAAGCTGAGGGAAAAAAAGAACCATAAAAAACCAACTGGTGCCACCTTTTGCTCGTTAAAGAAAAGAGATGAAATTCCTCGCCCACTCGCCCACCTAAACTAACTCGCCCACCTAAACTATAAAAAAACATTCCACTAACCTGAGCAGCGTTCCACAAATCGTCGTGAGTTTTGCCCTGTTCTAGCTTCTCTCGGTCATACAAATACGGACGCTTGTCCCCGCTGTGAATTTTTAGCGTCTTCTGTGCCCAGTCGTACGCTCCTGGAAAAAGTTGTGGCCAGAATGAGAAATCACCCGAACAAGTGAAACCCAGAAACAAGTGGTGGACGTAATGAACAAATGAAGTAGGTGTGCATTATGCCCAAACAAAATATCCATGTTAGACAAATTTTTATAGACTTTTTTTGGGTATTTTTTAAAATTTGACCCTGCCCCTTTCTATCAACTGGCGTATTTGTGTTTAGAAGAAACAACAACAACTACAAAATGTGCAGCACTTTGGATTTAAAAATTAACTGTTAGTATTAGTGTAGACACCCGAGAGAAAGGTGTTATCTATCATCTATCTATCTATCTGTCTGTCTGTCTGTCTGTCTGTCTGTCTGTCTGTCCGTCCGTCTATCTATTATATATATTTTTTAGTTTAAGTTGAGGTGTTACGGCGCTCGCAACTGCATAAGGTCATAAGAGCGCCAGAAGATTAGAGGGTTAAAAAGTCAAAGCTTTCTTACTGTCTAATACTCCCTGCCTTACCTTTGACTGAGTCATACTTTTCGTTGTAAAAACAAAAGTTGTCCGCCAACTCTCGCCGTATGACCGCCTCTTCGATGAACGCATTCACACCTTCACTGGACTTTGACCGGTACTTTTTGACCATCAGGATACAGCGCTGGACAGAGATCTGGCCTACAAAAATAATTAATGACCAAAAAATTATTTTTGTGCGCTGAAGGTGGGAAATGTTCGTGAATGGTTGAATTCCTTCGCTTTTCAATTATTTCAAAACGTTGAAGATATTTCAATCTGTTTTTCTAATTTCATTCTTTCGAAGTCTTTATAAAGTGTTCCATGCCACCAAATCTATGCCGCCAAAAAACAAAAAAGAAAAAGTGTCATGATGTGGTGCAACCAGGCGCTCATCAAAATAAAAAAATTGAAGAAATTAACATTTTTCCACGCATTGAGCAATTTTATCAAATATTTTGTTTTCAAGTCAGCACATTTTATATTCACTTTATAAACCCAATCTGCTTCACCACAGACACAGGCCAACATAGGAACAGCTTGAGGAGAGTAAACAATGCCCACCCTGAATAATAATAATAATAATAATAAATAGCATTTGTATAGCGCATGTCCCTACTCGAAAGCAAGCTCTATGGGCTTTACACTATATTATTACTCCAGCAGACCATAGAACACTCAGAAACATTCTCAGCATCCTGGGAAGCATACAGTGCATGCAGCTGGTTAAGCGCTCAAACATTAACAAACTGACAAGATCTTTCACTGTCTATAGCTGGGTACCCATTCATACCTGGGTGAAGTGAGGAAAATTCGTGTACAGTGTCTTTCCCAAGGACACAACGTCGGGCCCGCGGACCGAAACCCCGAACCCCGCAACCTCATGATTACGAGTCCGGTAGCCTAGCCACTAGGGCCACCGATGCCACGATTTTACTTCTTCGCTGTCAGCTGTGAACACAACGCTTACCAAAGTGGATCCATGGAGACAGATTGCTCAAAGCTTGCTTGTTCGGATCATTACGGGAAGTGGCAAAACTTTTCAGACGTTTCTCGCAGAAGGACTCAAGCATTCTCAGACCTGGGTCGGTGCCGGGCTTTGCCCATGTGACTTCTGCCACAGAGCGGTCCACTTGTAGGTACCCGTCTGCTGCCTTCCAGTCCGTCACCTGCTCGTTTGTGATAGAAATAAATTATGATACAACAATAGTCGTTTAGTGGTGAGAAAATGTAAAGACAAAAAAATATTGCACTACACATTTGAGATCTACGGAGGAGAAGCCCATAAGAGTGTTTACTGTTTAGTCTAATAAGTTGGTTGTAAGAGCTCGTTCTCAATAACTTTCACAGTCTTTGTTTCGAATTTATTATGTCTTTTATTTCAATAACAATACAAAGTCATGCTTGACACAGGTACCTGTGAATACACGAACAACATAGATACTTGAGTACACACGAATAACAGGTGCGTACGAACATACATACAACATAAATCAACTGAATATCCTCTACGCTATAGTCACATGATGCATGCACCACAAATCTTCCAACTCACTGGTGGCATTTTGGATGGTGGGTGAGGGTGGCGGGACACCGGCGGGAATTCGGTGAGGAAGCTGCCGAGCTGGTTGTGAATCTTGTTGCGAATGGTGCGGGCTCCGTACTCCAGCTTAGGGGAGGCCAGCCAGCAAGGGACAATGTTGTGGGCGTCCACCTGGAACGATAAAAATAAAAATTGTATTTGCTGTCGTTGTTGCTATCAATCCAGCAACATCTGGGCTCTCGCCCTTCTGTCCAATGCCATGTAGTGATAAGTGCAGGTTTGCTACAGTTGCTATAATGTTCCATAGAGTGTGTTGTCAATGTTAGGTCTCGAAGGAAGAATGGAAATAATTGTATTTATGTAACGCAAATCAGGCTCTGCTGCATGCTCTATGCATTTTAAAACTATTATTACCTTAGCAGATCCCAGAATATTCAGAAAATTCTCATCTTTTAGAGAAGCACACAGTGCAAGCTACAGATTGCACACGCTCAAATACTAACGACATGAAATGATCTTTGGCTGTCTATAGCCGCGCACCCTTTCCCACTCGGCAACAACATGTAAACACACTGACAAAATAAAATAAAAATAAATATGGTAAATAAAATATCAGTCATTGCTTCTGGTTTAGTTTTGGTAAGAGTAATGTGGCGGTCCTGCTGTAGGTTTTGTGTGCTGCATTCGAGTGGCACTCGTTGTTGACGCGAGCATTGTGCATGGGATCAGAGCGTGTGGGCACATCCAACATTGAAGGTTCCAGATTGACAAAACTTAACATTTTCCTTGATGGAAATCACTCTCTTGGTTCTTGCAACACACTGTCGGCAATAAATTAAAGCTGAAACAGCTGTAACAGCCACTTGTATATGACATAATTTCCACGCAAAAAGTGATACGGTCGCTTTTAAGCACAAGGGGGCTATCCTGAAAAATGCTATTTTGAGAAAATCGAAGGTAAAGTTTTTGGACCCTTATTCAGTTTCTTTTAAAGACAAGGAGTTTTCTCTATAACCAAACAAATATACACACCAATGAAACCAAACTTCTCTTATAGGTAGGGCAATGCCCACTTTTAGTACAGGTCAAGATTTCTGAAAACCCCCAAAATCTAGGTTAGCCCGCTTGTCCTTAAAAAGCGACCATATATCAAATCAAAACCTGACCTGGCAGAGAGGTACGTCTTCAGGCAGGGCCTCTTTCAGCTCGTCCACCCACTTGGCCGGTGTGCGGAGGGGACTGAAGTCTGTGACCACGCCTCCGATGCTGTTGTCCTTCACAAACTGGGGAAGGACTTTGCTCGCCTCTCCCAGCAGGAGGTGAAAGGCTATGTTCAGCTCTCGGCATTCCTGGGGCCAAACACAAGCAGGGTTTTCAAGGAAGTTTTTTTTTTAGTAGAGGTTTTACAGCGCCTGCAACTGCATAAGGTCATATGAGCTCCAAGGGGTGGATGTTGGAAGAGAAGTCCTTACACGGAATCAGACATACGCTGCTCACCTCTCTAGCATCAAAAACACAAGGTCTGCTTCGACTATCAAGGCACCCCGGAAATAGCAGGTCACAAAGCATACAAAAGAAGTAAAGGAAAAATAACGATAGTAAGGATTAAGAAAAAAAAGCAGCAGTTCCTTGTTGTAGTTCAGGCACAGTTATGAGCACGACATTGATGAATCAGCCCATTTACAATTACAATTCTACTGTACATAAGAACTCGAGATGTTAATGTCCCCCCTTTGGGAATGGCCTGAAGACACTCCAGTCAGCAGCACCGCCCAGGGGTGTTGGCCACACCTCCCAATAAGATGCTGCTTTTGGGGAAAGTGAAAAGCTTGAAAACTTGAGAAGAAGTTTTATTTGAAGTAAGGCAGTAGCAGTTATATAAAGAGTATTTATATTCAAGCTTTTCTAATTTCTCAATTTTCATAATTTATACACAAAGTGTACCTTTTCCACTTGAGCCAGACCTTTCAGCAGGAAGCCGAACTGTCGGATTGTGGCCTCGAGAAACTTGGGTACCAAACAAAAGCAGACGTGAAGAGGTGCTTCTAACTTTAAAGCCAGACGCTGGGCATACAGAAAAGCCCAGTTATCTGAAAACAAGAGAAATAAAAGAGGGATGAGAAGGGTTAAAAACATAATCTTCTACACAGTCCAAAGCTATTTATCCCACTGTTCGAGTAAAAAATAAATTTTCAAAAGTTTGTGAATACTACTCCTTAACCCTATCCCTACGCCCTGGGGTCATTTTGTATCCCCGGGTTGTATTCTTCACATTTTTAGAATACTTCTAGTGCGAAGATCTCTTTGAAACTTTCGATATTTCTCAAAAAATCATGTCGACAGACTGCTACGCAAAGCGTTCGGATCGGATTAACGAGTAAATTTCTTCTTTGGAAAGTGGTGGCACAGAGTTCCCTACGTCGTATGGATACGACAGAGTTCCCCAAGTCGTATAGATATGGGCCAGTGGTGGATTTTGGCCAGGTAGGAAAAACAGTTAAAAATAATAGAATAAATATTCGGAGTTGAAGATTATCTATGCATGCAACAACAGAATGAAAAAAAAAAGACCCCCCCCCCCCCCAACCTAACTACGCAAAAAATCTCCTGCAACAATGTCCTTACCCTGAACTCTCTGATCCCGCGACATCCAGTAGACCACTCCGTCACTGTCGTCGGGAAAGTCTTCTTCCTTGGACAAGACCCGAACCCTGTTCTTATTGAATTTGAACTTATCCACGCTGGCACACACACTTGTTCTCTGTTTGTTGATTCTCTCGATAAAGTCGCCAGTGTCTCCACCTGCTTCACTCTTCGAGGGACTGTCGCTTTCCCCATTACTGTCCTCCGACGCAGCTGTCTCCTAGAGGAACAAAGCTTCACAATGTAAAAACAGGGATCATCCCCCTTTGCTTTTAAAATGATCATTTTTACTAATCTGGACACATGGGTGGTTGGCGGGTCCTCTGGTGTGGTTTGCTCCTTCTTTCCTATCAAACATCTGTCGTCCTTAAACCTCCCCTCCTTTTTTTGTGTATTTTACTCTCTTGTAACACACAATCTATTCTTTGGCACTTATATGACCTTATTGTGTTGTAAGTGTCGTAAAACTGTTACTAAAACTAAAACTGGACACACGACAGCGCAAATTTTGGCTCAGGGTCAGACTATAAACGAGTGGGAAATAACTGTCAAACAGTTTGAACCTTCGTTAGTGGTAACCTCTCCATAGTCCTCACCTGTACTAATGGCCACAGTCCCTTGAAACCATTGTGTTTTTCCCGACCATATTTAGTCCCTGTCCAACACAGTCATGGTAGGTCATTTTTACGACAAGTCGGCATCAACTTATTTATTATACTGCAAGTTTTCAGCCAACCAATCCTCAGATTGAGTTGAGTATGTTCAGCCAATGTAAAGAAGTTCTTATGACAGATCTATAACAATTTTGAAGGAAATATAACAGAGAAGATTTCAGATAGTTAACTACCCGTTGATGTTGTCAAGTCTAACAAGTGACCACAACTGAGATCCTGTCCATAGCAGCCAGTTGCCGTCTATAAAGGTTACTTTTTCTCTTTGCTCTTGAGTGACCGTTGCGGCCACATTCGACTGTGTTGTACACGCATGCATATATTTCAAACTAACTTTATAAAAAGGACTTTTCTTTACTATTAGTGTACATGAGTGACGGGACCCTTTTTCGGAGCCCTATGCAATGTCCTCAGCAGTATTGGTTGCAACACACACCATCTAGACCTATTCAATATCATAGAGATAAATGCAGAAAATCTTAATTTAATGAGCAGCAACATCTGTGCGTACAAAGTTGCAATCTTGACAATTAACAAGCCTCCGACGACTTTCATGTTACTTACAGCTGTCTTTGCTTTCTTTGCACTGGTGTTGGTCTTTGAGTCCTGCTTTCTTTTTACAGCTCTTTTGCCTTTTGAATCTTTCGTCTTTTCTTCTTGTTCAGTCTTGCTAGTAGCACCACCGTTCACCACTTCTTCATCTGAAGACGACATGATTGACTCTGACCGCTGCCCAGATTTTCCCTTCACCGTCCTCAGGATCAAATAACTGTAAGTGTTCTGCAACTTGGCAGGGCTGCTCTGAAGCTTCTAGATGAGGGAGAAAAACAAATTAAGTTAGGATTTAAACTCTTACAAGTCAGCATGTCTTCTGAATAGATGCTGAATTTGCGCCTTTGCAGTGTAGACGATGTGTGGAATCCTAGTAAATAATAATAGGTTTCTCTCTTGATTGATGTAAAGCCCTCAGAGCTTACTCGTGATAGTGTTTATAAAAATACAATCTATTATTACACATCATCTAGTCCAATTTTCATAAGAAGTTAAACTTAGTTACATGTTAGAAAAGGACTTGATATAAAATAATGTGTGATTTTTTTAAAACAGCGCATTTCAACGCAGTTAAGTCTCTGCACGTTTTTGTGTTCTTCTTCAAGTGGAAACTTTCCGGATAATAACAACCCCCCCCCCCTCCAAAACGAAGTGACTATTTCTCAGAGCGCTCAGGAAAATAAACCTGATCTTTATTTGTCCGAACGGTTTCCCTTTTCGAGATTTTTTGGTTATTTGACAGAGTTCGGTGTCATCTTTCATTCTGCGAGGACTGGGAAGAGGTATTTTCTGCATCGAATTCAATTTCTAGAAGAGATTTTTAGATGTTTAAATATATATATAGAATCTATATCGAAGTGGCTAGCCGTACTTAGATCTAGGTTTGGCCCAATCGACTCAAGCCTGTTAAGTACACAGGT